AAACTTCTAGAATCTTCCTCCAGTGTTTTACCTATCTTAGTGTCTTTTGAGTTTACTGGTTGAGAACTTGTAATCTTTTGAAGGAATTATGTTGCTTATTTCTTCGTATTTGTGTTTCTATGTTGTGATTGTGCAGCTGTTGCCTTTTGGTTCTATTTGGGGATCTTCTTAGTGAGGAACTAACTTTGAGGGTTCAATCCTCATTACATTGAGAGGAGGAAACAAACTTTTGTCAACTGCAACATCATCAAACCATAGAAGATGTAGAAATACCCTTAAAATCAATTAAGGCCATTGGTACATAACCAGTGATCATAGACCATAACATGGCAAAGTTAATGCAGATTGTGATATGAAACTTAAAAGTAGGATAAATATGGAATAGTAAATGAATGAGATAAAGGAAAGGGAAAGAAAGGGGGCAGTTGGGGAGGGGATAGAGGAGAAACCAGGTTAAATGAAAAGAATAAGTGGAGAAGAGGGAGCTGGAGAGATGGCTTGCTAGTGGTTAAGAGGCACTGACTGCTCTTGCAGAGGAAGGACCCAGGTTTGGTTCGAAGCACCCACATGGTGGCTAACAACTGTCTGTAACTCCAGTTCCAGGGGAATCTGGTGCCCTTTTCTGGCCTCCGTAGGCACCATACAACATGGTGCACTTAATGTACATACAGGCAGTGCATTCATACACATAAAATAAATTTTAAAAGAGAAGTGGAGAAGAATGTTACAAAGGGAAAAGAGAGTAGAAAACATAAAAGAAAAATGAATAAAGATTCCTGAATAATCAGAAAATTCATTGCCAAAATTAGATAAATATAAGAAAGAATAACAAAAATCTATTTAAAAAATATTAAAAACATAAGGTAAACTGAAAGTATTACTAAAGGTATAGTAGAAAGAAAAAGGTAGAAACACAAGAGACAGAAAAGAAAATTTAGGAAAAGACAAAGGATGAAGTGTTGGATTGGTTTCTTCCTAGTTCCTTGACTATTGAAGACTTACAAGTTTCTGCAAGGTGTGGAACTATTGGACTTGTGGACTCTTGACTTTTCCATGAGTTATATTGACACAGTTTATATTAGGCAAATGACCAGTGTCCACCAGAGCTGTCTTTACTTTTGTAATTTCCTTTTTGAGTATACCTGGGGCCTCTGATAGTCACACTGAATTTAGTAGTCTATGAGCTTGGCAGGCTTTCCTACCCTCCTGAAATTTCTTAGTTCATGCCCCGAGTGGCTAATGCTCTGCTTCACAAGCATCTTCCACAGTTTAGAACTACTATAGCCTAGTGTTCCCATCTTATGATTGACACACCTGGGACCAGAGAGGGAGGCTTACCCCTCTCCCATAGGTGGCTGAAAAATATTAGACTCCTAGTTTCTGAATTTCTAGGCAGGGATTGGTTGGAATAAAAAAGTATTAAACTTTCTTGAAATTATTTTATATTTTGCTTTCAAATGGTGGTAAGTTAGCTACATAAAAATAGTATGTTAGTTGGCAAATGAAACTGGTGGAAGGTTCTCTTGACCTGAGGCATCATGCAGAAAGTGACCATATAAAGCTGTAAAAGGCATGATTATCCTTATTTGGTTTTCTTAAATTTTCTGTTTTCCCCCTTTCTAAGAATTCCCATGGAATTATTTTCCAGGAACTATGAGATAAGTTCTTTTTAGTGTATCACTAATGAGTATATCAACCAAGGAATTTAATGTAGTGAACATTAAAAATTTGTGTAACGGGCCCAGAGAGATGGCTCAGCAGGTAAAAGCACTTGCCACAAAGCCTGACCACCTGAGTTAAAGCCCTGGGATCCACATGGTAGGGCAGGCTGTCCTCCAACCGCCACGTTCGCTGCATGGCATGTGCACATTCACACACAAAACATAAACATACATGATAAATAAAATAAAATTAGAATTTTTATGACTAAATTTTTGTAAAACAGGAAATTAAGTATCACTAATGTTTCTTCATCATTGCAACTCTTTCAAGTTTTGAAACCTAAGTAAGCCTAGGCTTTTGGTCCTAACATTCCCTTTTTTATGTCATTACAAATGTGTGATCAGTGAGGATTTCCTCCACTTAAGGGAGGTGGTGTAGCCTCATGACTTATACCCAAGTTTTGGTCTCAAATGAGTTTCTAGTTTCAGTGGTAAAACCCAAGACAAAGAACTAAAAATTTGAGTCTCTATACCTGAAAAATGAGAATAAAATATAATAATAATAATTAATAATATCATACCTGTGGGGTTTAAGTATTTGTGACGTATTTATTACAGTGCATGGCATACACTAGGAACTGAGTAAATAGTGTACTATTACTAATAATATACGATAAACTTTTCTCTTTTACCACAAGAGGGGTGGTTAGGCTGAAGGGAAGATATGTGCAGATAACTGATTAGAGGTAAACACAAGTGCCATACCAAGTTACTGGGAAACTTCAGTGAGAGGTAACAATGTCACATTCTATCTGGAAATCTCAGAGGAGGCAGAAGAAAGTCTTAAGAGGTGAGTTAATAGAAGTTAAGGGAGCAGATTGTTTAGGGACTTTGTAATTCATCATTCTGATTTAAGCTTTTATTCTCAGTATTTTGCCTAACTAGAAGTAGAATCTAGTTAGGAATTTATTAAGGAATCCAGGTATAAGATGTGCCCTACACTTTGCAGGAGAGGAAGAGCTGGAAAGAGGTGGTTGGATTTGAAGAACTGGTACAGCATGTGAGCAGAAAGATTGGATATGAGGTGCCCGGGAGGAGACAAAGATAGGTTCCTATGTTGGCTAATATTAGATTATCAGCATGACAGAATCTAGAATTACCTAGAAGGCAAACTTCCGGGCATATCTGCCAAGCAGTTTCTAGATTGGGTTAAATGAGGTGGAATACACACTTTTAACTGTGGGTGACCCTGTTCCATCAGCTGGGGTCCCAAAAGGAGAAAATGTGCTGAGCAGGAGCCTTCATCTGTTCTGCTCCCTGACCACAGACAGTGTGACCATCTGCCTCATACTCCCTCTCACCACCACTCCTTCCCCACACGATGGGCTGTACCCTCAAACTGGGGTCCAAAACAAACCCTTTCTTCCTTAACTTGATTTTGTCAGGTGCTATATCACAGTGATGAGAGAAGTTACCAAGAGCATTTCTAAGAGGTTAGCCTGAGTGACTGAAAGGATAGAGTTGCCATTTTGACAACCAAGGGAGGATAAGAGAGAGGACCAGGTTTGAGTAGAAAATCAAGACTGGAATTTTAGAACACTGTGTTTGACTTGTTTAATTAAATGTATAGAGGAGAGTCAATAGGTGAGTAGATGTATCAGCTTGGAATTCATAGAGGGAGAGAGGTTTGTCCTAGAGTCATCAGTTTGGGAGGTGAGGGTGTATTTACTTCTAATGATTTTTAAAAACTTGGAATGCTCAGGGACCTTACCCATTGTTCCTATTACTTCTCTCACATAGAATTTTCTTTGGTATGTCCATCTTAGAAAAATTCAAATAATACATGAAAAAGATAATGGGGGAAGCATTATCAAATATATTACTATATGTATGAAATTGAGAGAGTAAATAATTTTAAAAAGAAAAATAAAAAAATTTCTAAATAAACTTCACTGTGAAACTTTTTATAAATATGTTGAAGATTTACTGTATGACCATTTGTTTCAGCTTAGGATGTTTAGAATGGATCTTTATATCTTTCAACATCTGTGTCTATTTTGTTGGGGTTTTTTTTTTTTTTTTTAGCAATTTTTGTAGCCCCAGCTGGCCTGGAACTCTCTATGTAGACCAGGCTGGCCTTGAACTCAGAG